TAATGAATGATTGTAATGTTCAATGAATTATAATAATTTTAGACAATTTCAAAATTAGTCTCCATGCAAAACTTTTTTTTTTATTCAAATTACATTTTCAAATTATAAATTCATAATTTCACTTCTTCCACTTATCAATTGAGTTTCATATTTGTACTCATTTAATAATTATATATAATTCTAGAAAATTATGCACAATTTTTTGAATGCTCTTATTTTGGGAAAGTATAAACTCGAAGAAAAAAAAATGCAAAAAATATGTATCAAATTTGTTTTCGAAAAAAAATTGAGTTAATGAGCTTTCTTTAATATCCTTTTTGTGTATTTAATATTTGATTTCCACTAGTAATTGTACTTTTAATTGTTTTATTTCAAATAAAATATTGTTAAGGCGCAATTCTCACATTTCACAAATCAGAAAGAGAAAATTTACATCTCTTCAGTAGCTTTTTATAAAGATCAGAACATTCACTGACTGACATAAGGTGATAATCGAATATTAGATACCACTATTTATAATAATCAAAAAAGACTGATAATTCTAAACTTCAATTTTTTAAAAAGAAGAATTCAACCCAAAAGAAACATATAATATATATATATGTATATATAAAGTAATACTTTCAATTTATTGACAATTTTTCAAATTTCAAGAAAGCATTAAAATTTAGTAAAAGTGCATTAATGTGGTAGTTGATCTGTAATTTAAATTAATAAATTGTGAAAATATAAGAAAATGAAACGAGCAAGCTTTTATCAAATAGAAAACTGAATGACCTTGGATTTCCTTTCCTTTTTTTTTTCTTTTTTTGAAATGAAATGGAACAAAAAATGAAAGAAATATTTGTGTCTAAAACATGAACAGATTATTTTATATATAAGAAAGGAACATAACTCCATCGCTACTTTTTTTTGTGATAAGAAAGCATAAATCAATTCCGTTACTGCCAGACAGCAGCACTGATAGCTGATATACATATATGATATCAGTGTATTGATTAGTAAATGTTTAAATTGTGAAATGAAAAAAGAATTATCATTGAAGTCAAAAATTTTTCTTCCAATGGAAAACAGTAATGTTATCTATTATTATGAATTAACTGCACAGCACACCTTTTTCTTATCATAAAGATTATAATGAACGCATCAATTAATACTTTTGAAGGCTTTAAAAGTTGTGAAATATTTTTGAGAGATAAAAAGTAAATGACGAAAGAGTAAGTTCTATGGAACAAAAAAAAGATAATAAACTCAGTTCAATTGTCATTTTTGAAATACTTAAGTACAAATTAATATAATTTATTGTTTTTGAAACATTGGAAGTTTTAAGATTTCATTTAAAATTAAATCGCTATGACAATCTCTCTGATACGAAAGAAGTTCTTAATTTGAGACTTTTTTAAAGTAATAAATCATATTGAATTATTCATGGAAACTAATAATAATTTTATGCTTAATTGGGAATTCATATCTGTGCTTCTCTACCAAATATCATAATAGTTTTAAAAAAAAGGAAAAGAATAATAAATGAGAGAAGCAGAAATGATAGTAAAAGAATTCCCAGCAAAAGAAAGCAAACAAGAAAAAAGAAAAAGCAATGCTTTTTTTGTATGCTGAACGCTTTAATTTGCATGTTAATGAAAAATTGTATTTAATTAAGCTTATGCTTAAACTTAAGAATTTAAATAATTCATTGCTTCTAAAATGACTTAAATTTTTTTTCTTCTACCTTTCTTCACATTATCAGAGAGAGGGAGAGAGAGAGAGAGAGAGGGAGAGAGAGAGAGAGAGGGAATAAGAATCAATCATATTGTTCTGATCAGTATCGATAATACACGAGAATAATCAGTGTAGTATGCATAGATATCTATCATTATCAATTCACAATAATTAAAGTATTTATTGAAGTGAGGAAAAAAGAAATATAAAACTGAATGCTTATGAAACTGAAAAAAAAAACTTTTTGCAACTAATATTTTCCTTTCATACTGTCATTCAGTTAAATGATTGAATTTCTTCCGATTTGGAAATAAAAGATATTGAAACGAGGCGCATATTGTAGCAAAAAGAAGAATTAATGAATGTGGGGCGCATTTGGCATTCTTGAAGTAATAATATATCTTCAAAATAATGGAAAGAAGTGGAATTCTGTGAGTTCAAGTAAAGGAAAAACTAAAGAAATAGAAAGGAACTATTGTGCGTAAAACGTAACGCGACAATGTGCGCTCAGCGTTTATGTGCTGAAGATGGCAGGGAGGGAACTGTCTGTGTATGTGTCTGTTTGTGTATGTGTGTATGTATGTATGTGTGTGTGTGTGTGTGTGTGTGTGTGTTTACCGCTGGAATTCATTTAAACGAGAAATTAGCATAACAGGGAGGTAAATCATATCGTACTGACCTTTAGTAGTCCTCTCTACTTGTTCCCTTTTTTGGAATGCTCAGTTTAAATATACATAGATAGATAGAGAGATAGACAGAGAGATAGACATGTATGCGTGAAGGTGAAGAGAGAGGGAGTTAGACACAGAGAGATAGTATTGGAAATAAAGGGGAAATTTTTAAATGGAGTGATTAAAGATTGCCGGGCAGATAGAATGGAAGGAATGCAGGAATGAGGGGAGGAATGAAGAAATGAGAGAAGGAATGAGGGAAAGAGTGAAGGAAAGAGGGAAGGAGTGGGAGAAGGAATGAGTGAAAGAGTGAAAGAAGGAGGGAAGGAATGAAATGATATTACATGAACTATTACAAATAAGGAAGGCAGATATGAATGATTTGGGGAGCAGAAGTGGTAATTTAAGATGAAATGTGAAAGGAATAGAAGAGGAGAAGGAATGGAATGAGTTGACCATTGGTCATTATCATTTGTCAATGATGCATGATGGACAACAAGAGAGAGAGAGAGAGAGGGAGAAAAGAGAGACAAAGTTGACCTAGAGGTATAGAAAAAAACTTCGTTTCATCGATGATAATTAAACTATAAAAAAATTAACCAATGGTTGCAAAATGTTTAATATTTTTATGAAAGTGGACGATTAAATCTTCTACTATTATTAATTAATTAAGTTTGCCATTATTTGTTCTCAAAAATTTAATTAATCAATTAATGAACTGAACTTTGGAGAATTTTCCACTTTAATAATAAAATAAAATTAGTTCAGCAAATTTTCAATCATTTCAAGCAATGAAATTTTCTAAAATTTCTTTTTTTCTTTCTTTTTGTCAATAAAAAGAAAAGAAGGAAAGAAAGAAAAATTTCATAACTGTTTGTAACTGTTCGCTTAAGAAAAATTGAAAAAGAAAATAATTTCGATATTTTAATTTTTATTAAATATTTAAAAAAATTAAATTATATTTTAATTGACTTACTGTCCCATTGCTTATTATTCATTTCTTAATTACTGTTACCAATTCATTATTGATTTATTCTGCTGGGACATCGCATTCAAATGAATGTATTATTGTGAGGTTTAATTACTCTTTGTTTTTTTGTTTTGAAATTTTGCTCTGTGATATTGATGGACGCATAAAATTTGAAGAAAATAAAAGTAATAATTTTAATTCTCAATTGACTGCAAAAAATAATTTAATTTTCAGCAGTGTCATTCTTATCATCTTTGTCCTTTATAGCATACATAACAAAATAATCATTTTATCAGTTGCTATTTTTATCATTGTTTTTGCTCGTTTAAAACTAAAACCAAAATTCTTCGATAGATAAAGAATTTATTTGAGAATAATTAAAGCAAAATATTAATATGAAGTAGAATTAAATATATATTAAACATTTTGTTTTCCATAAGGCAATCTTTTCGTTTTACAATTTGAGATGAATTCGCTCTGTTTTGACGTTTTTTGCGGAAGTCCGCATCGTAGCGTAAAATTTTATAATCACTGCAATTTCTTTTTTACAATAAAATTTAAAATTAAAAGAAAAACGATCAAAAAAATGGGTTGCAAATATGATTTCTAATTGATTAATTAATTTTAAATAACCAAAAAAAAAAAAAAGTTGCAAAATACTCATTTGCGAATTTTCATTTGCAAAATCAGATTATGAGAATAAAATTAGGATTTGAAGGAAAAAAAAGATCAAATTGCAAAACAAATGAAAAGTGCAGTATGGCACTTTTTTTAGAGTAATTTTTAAAGTAATTAAAGAAATTTAAATCATAATTATCAAAAACCTCTTAGAGGTTATTTCACGGATTATGCCATACTATCAGTAGAAAATATAATAGATATTAGTTGTTTTATCATTGATTTCATTAATAAATTAAAGTTATCAAAATTCGTAACACTTTTCTCACATTTTAGCCAAAATACGACAAATTATTATTTCCATAATTTCATTCGATTTTACTAAGCTTAATCTAGGTTCAACAATATCAACTTTGGACTAAGTTTTACAGTACAAAATTTGGCCTAAAATTTGCAATATCAAGCTTAGTCTAGGCTTTCCAATATGAAGCCTGGTTCAGGCTTTGCAGTATCAGTCTTGCATTAAGCTTTACTATCAAGCACAAATAACATAGAGAAACTGTTATCCTTAAATAAAAGTTCGGCTATATAATGTTTTTTTATTAAAATATTGATAATAGCGCTTATCATAGAGTTTATCATAGTGTTTACTATTTAAAGAAATTTATTGCTAGCAAATTTCTTTTTTTCGTTTTTTGTTTTCTTTAGGTTGGATAATAATAAGACTGGTAGATCGGTTGTAAAAGGTTTCTTTGGCGGTACAAAGGTAAGAAATACTTTTCAATGGTATCACTTCTGTTCCATTGTATTTAATACTTAGTTGTAGGTGCAGAAAAATGGATCTTTTTAAAAAAATCATTTCTTCACTTCTAATTTAATTATTTAGATTAAATGTATTTCAAAATCTTTTTGCTGTCAATACAGTTTAATCTTTCACTTTTTTCTTTTTGGAATTAGCTGAAAAATGAAATAGTAATAAAACTATTTTAGGTTATTGGAAAAAGTGAGAGAAATTAGTAAAAATGCTCGATTTGAAATTATTCTGCAAAAAATTACCTAAATGTGTAAGTACTTTTTAGTTCATTTTATTATCTGAAGAAAATTGTAAAATTTTAGCTGAAAAAAAGATTTTCCAAAATTTTGAAAATCCAAAAAAAAAAAGAAAATAAAATTGATGAATGGCAAATTAACCCGAAGTGCATAAAGAGTCAAAGCAATTGTTGTTTCACTTTTTCAAATTCATTCAAATTTTGAACCGAAAATTTGATTAATAACCGAATGAAATTTCTGCATATCTTTTCTTTAACCTAATTACTATTTAATTTAATTTCAATTAATCATAATCCATTCCAGGAATTCAATATACGTTGGGAAGCTTGCATTAAAAAGTCAATGCTGAGTATGCTAGAAGAACACCGGCGAAAATCAGGTGGGCCTGAATTAACAGCCGAGCAACGTAAGCTACTTTGGGCATATGGCGAGCCAAGAGATATGAAGGAGTAAGTATATTTGTAATCAAAATAGTTCAATTCATACCTGTATGCAATACTATGGCTATTAAATAATCATTTGAGCAAATCATATAGTGTGATATTATCATTAATAAATCATTTTTTAATGATAACAAATGGTCAATGTAATATTCTTAGGTTTAACTGTGATATTGTTGTTGAAGAATTCAATGAAACGGAATTATGCTAAATTTTAAAAAACATTTTTTTGAAAAAAAGAAATCTCAAAGACTTTTTTTTGTACATATTAAATGTAATCTTATTCATACAAATCACTATCATATGATCAAGGCTAATTTTAGATCAAACATTTAAAAGAATTGGTTGTATAATTAATGGTTTTAAAGTAAATAACATTATCATAAAGTTAATAATCACAAGTTTACTTTTTTTAATAGGGCATTACGATCAATGTCGGTGGTACGCGAACTGATTTTATTGCAAGAAGATGTATTTACGGTGAGTGGATAATTCATTTTAATTTCTTTGATTTGTATTACCATACCGTATTTATTATTATTGTGATTAGTAATTAATCAAATAAGAACACATTTAAAATAGAAATGGAAAGAGATGCTACAAATTTCTCACAAATTAAATTAAATACTCGTTTTTTATTTTAAAAAAAAGGAGCAAAAAAGAAATTCTAAATGTAAATTTTGATGAATTTTCATTCGCAAAAAAAAAAAAAAAAAAGAAATAGGAAAAGAATAGTTCAATTTTAGATAACGAGTGATATTGTGGATCGTTATCATTCTGATAATGTTTTTTATTTGGAATTTCGCGTGAAGCCATGTGTCAGCAATGAATTATCGCCAGAAACATTTCTGCGAAAAATGATCCAAGCGATCGTAGTCGCAAGAGATACACGTCGCCAAATGACTATTAAAATCCTAATAATTGTCGAACTAGAAAATCCCATTGAAGTAATTAACGAAATCATTGATTTAGTTATGATACTTGGTGAGAAACTAATCAAATCTTTTTTTTCATCGCATTTTATCAATACTAATTAGCAAGTTTTTTTGTTATTGTAATTTTAATAAGATTAAGTAAACGAAGAATTATGTAAGTATGTCAAGAAATTGAAATAATCTTGGAATGAAATATTTCAATAGTGACTTCTGCTAAAAAGGCTGAAATAGCTTTGTTTAGCTGAATGAAAAGTATTTTAGTAGTAAAATGATCGAATACATCTAAGTTTTCCATTATTGCTTAGCTATTTTATTAGAAATTGTAGTAGAAGACATTAAATAAATTCAATATTGTTTTTACTTCCTACTTCTTTCCAATAATTCAGAAATTATTGAATCATTTCCAGGAAGGACTTATAGATCTCGAAATTTACCTGACAGTGATATCATACATGGTTTGGAGATAGCTTTTAGTGATTCAAATAAAATTAGCATGGATCAATTGCAGAAAATAATTGATCATATTCGACGAGAATCGCAATTAATTATTGTTTTTAATCTAGCTAAGGTTATATTATATTATCGTTTCAAGTTTTTTTTTCTTCTGCTTGTCGTAAAATAAATATGTTTTTACATAACTAAAAACTTAAAACTATATGATAAAAGAAGTCTAAATTTAATATTAACTAAACTAAATCAAACAATTTATAAAATGATTGGGTAAAACTTTTAAAATATTTTTCAAAATTTTGAATAATATTTTTAGAAAAAGCATTACCAACTGGAAATAAAAATTAATTAGTTTATGATCATTTGCAGAAAAATCTGTCACAAACATTTCATACATCAGTGAATTTGATAATTATGATTTTGACATTTCTATGTTTAATTTATTTTCTCATGTTGCCAACAACAGAAATTCGAAAAAAAGTTAATTTTTAATTCTATTCGTTCACTCAAAAAAAGAAATTCATTGGAATGGCAGTGCAGAAGTAGTTTGAAATCTTTGATATTTTTAATTTAAACATATGAAAATGTGTTAAAAATTCATTTCAGATTAATAACAATGTCGATCAATTATATGATATCTTACTATGTCGCCCTGATCGATTAAGTAATGCAGAAATTTTAAGTACTTTTAACAAAAATGAAAATAAAATTGATCAACATATATTAACTGATCGTTTAATATCAACAAAATTACCTATAGGTAGGTTATTTCAAAGAGATTAATTACAAAATGATTATTTTTTGTAACTCTAATTAGTGTATTTTTCCTTTTTTATATAAGAGCAGAAAAAATAAACATTTAGGAGAGAAAAAAGACTTTTTTAAAAAGAATAAATTAATAAATTTTGAATTATGTCAAATATTTTAAAACCTTTATACATTTATTACATTAAATATTTATTATAGAATTCTGTTACACAGCTAATCGCCTCTCTTATCCCAATAGTAAGGAACCACTTTGGCGGAATCATTTTTATTATCTCTATTCAATGGAATATCCTATAATTCCTACTGTAAGTTATTATTTGTAGAATGCTGAATTAATCAATATATATTTTATCATATTTATAATCCAGAAATCATAACTAAATTAAGCTTAAGCTCTGTTACTAAATTATGGGTAATATTATTATCAAAATTTGCAGACAGGCTATTCTGCATTATTGGGTTGTAGTTTATCAGATGAATATTATCACTTAGCTGTAAATATGAATTTAAAACCAAGCGATCTATACAAACTATCATTAACTGCGTCGTTTCTCACGGAAGAGACACCACGTCTTAGTAGCCGTGATTTATTCCCATTTATGCAGCAATATGATGAATTTGCAAAACAATACGCTTTGGAAACTTCCATTGATTGGAAATTTCAAATCCTTCGTAACTGTCACTTCTTTCTAAGTCGTCCTTTAACTGCCAGACGTAAGCATCGTCGACGTCGCATCATTGATCTTCTCTATTCTTGAAATTACATCATTTTTTTCAATTTTGACAATTTTGTCCTTTTGCAAATTTTTTTGTGAATTTTTTGCTATTTGTGAATTCGATTATTATTATTATTATTATTATTATTATTATTATTATCGCCATTATTATTATCATTGATAAGATTATTCGAATGAGATATACAAAAGTTCGAAGCTATCAATTGCGAAAATTTGCAGCCAAACATAACTGTGTTATTAATGGGAATGAAAATTTACTTGCTTATGTGATATTTTCATACTATACAACTTTAAGTTGTAATTTTCATTTCACAAAGTTCTGCTATTTAATTATTACAAACAAAAATGCAGAGGAAAATTCATTTCCATTCATTACCAATCAAATAAGTATTTGTATTTCGAGTTTTGTTTTAATATACATATTTTTATTTTTATAAACAACCGTGCATTTGTTATACACGGTGCGATTTTATGTGTTATTTACAATAGATTTAGCTGTAGATTTTGAGAAATTTTTATCATTCGTTAGAATTTGCAAAATGGATAGTTTATTACTTAACGGTTAATTGATTAGTTACGGTTAACTTTCTGTTAAATTATAAATAAAACAAACAAAGTAAGTATAAAAATTCCATTCATTCATTATATACAACGAGCAACAAGTGGAATTGAACTTTCGTTCGAACACATATACAAATACAAAAGAAGGAAAGCGCAAAGGGAATGCTATGATAAGAGGAAATCGGAAAATTGCTATAAATGATTTTATAAAAAATGAAAATTTTATGTCATTTTTCACCTTGCAATGTTACATTTTGAGGTGCTATGATTCTGATATGGAAAAAAGGTTCTACAAAATACGTTGACGGAAAATGTAAATGATATTTCAGGGAAATGTAAATGATATTTCAGAATAAGAGGGAAATGTAAATGATATTTCAACTTCACTTGGATTATCGTTTCATTTAAGAATCCTTAACAATGTCCATTACTCATAAATAATAATGATAGTAGCAATGATAATATTTAATAATCAATAATAAGTAAAAAATCAAATAACTAATTAATTAAATAAACGAATAGACAAATAGTAAGTAATAAATAATAATATTAAATAATAAATAAATCACCAGCACTAATTTTTTTCCATATAGCTAATAAAAAATTTAAAAAGTTGAAAGAAAAAATATTAATGATATTTCACTAAATAATGACATAATGTGATACAATCTAAGCTGTGATAATATTAGTTCTAAAGCCATATATTATGCAATTTTGTTTGATTTAATTTTGAATATAATTCTAAAATTAATGTTATCATTTGATCTGCAATAAGAAATGATTAATAATGCCTCATTAGTAATTTTCTTTTATACTTTATATCAAACAACTGAATCAATTATTTCTTATTAAATGTTTTGACTGAAAACACCCCCATAACTTCCTGTTACCTTCTCTTCCGTTTCGACTTCCGGAAAGCTAGCAGCGAAATAAATGCCATCACAACTTCACCCCTACACCACAACAACATTTGTGTTAACGATAATTTGCAAATCGCAACGTGACAATGAACCGGTGATACGGAAACTGTCATGGGTTATTGTGATAAGACCGGAAAGGATGTTCAGTTAGTATTTTGCTTCTTTCGAAATTCCGGACATTAATATATATTTCGGATACCGTTAATATATATTGTATATAGCAACCCTAAATTATGAACGTTACTGTTTCATACAAATTTTATTCTTCCAAACTTTTAATTTGTCAATTTTCAGCTATGCACTAGCATTTTTTATCAGTGCTATTAGCTTTATTCATTAGTTTTTGTTTCTGCATGTATCACTGTGTTTTAGCTTATTTCATATCGATGGAACAGTTATTTAGCGGGTAGTCTGAATGAATCCGTCAACATTTTCCGGAAATTTTTTATTCAGTAGTCCAACAAATACCAGAAGCAAAAGTAATGCATGTCATTTTATCGATATATTCGATTTTATTTTTGTCGCACATCCCGATTCCGGACGTACTGAAGGTAAAGAAAGTGAACGAGTATTTTATTTCAACAGTCCGCAAAATGAATCAATGGAAAAACAGGTACATATTTTTTATTACCACATGTATTTGTTATATTTGTTGTTTTATTTTTGCTGTTTAAGAATTTTCTGAGAAATTTTCAGTTATTGATTACTTGAAAATTTTTCACTTTGAAATATTCTGATTCGCAGTTTTTAGTTGGTTGAAGAATAATATGCCATTATTTTTCAGACGCAGATAACAGGTTTTGCGGAAGCAGTTGTTAATTTCACTGAAAACTTCACTGAAAATAAGGACGAATCGGAATTCCAATATCGTTATGTAAATACTTCCAAACAGTTACATGTGTATGTTCAGGTTGAATCTGGAAAATTTATTATTGGAACTGGTGTAAACAAGTAAATGCTATTTTTTTCCTATAAGTTGGAAATGAAAATTAAAGAAAATAAAAATAAAAATTCAAAACATAGGGAAGTTGATGTTGAAAATAATTGAAATAATAAATTTTAGTGTGAAACTTTTGAATTTTTGTCTTCATAGTTATTTTTAAAAGAAAAGATTTGCATAATTGATTCAGCAATTATGTAACCTTTTTAGCATAAATAACTTCCTTATGGTAATATTAAGATTGGAGAATAAAAGTTATGAAGACAGAATCTTTTGAGATGCATCTTCCAGAATTCGTTTATTTTTTATTTTTTGAAAATTGTTTTAGAGAACTTAGCATCAATGAAGATTACGTTCTGCGAGGTTCAGCTATCAAAGCAGTGCTAATAACGGCTTACAAAATGTTTCGTTTATTTTTTGGTCCATTCTCTCGACTTGTGACAGATAATTCAATACATTTGAAGGATCGTCTGGAATATTTCTTCTCACGTTACCTCCCACAACTTCGTCTTCATCATGTGTGTTATAGTGTGTTATATTCTAAACTAAAAAAATTTTGAATAGTTATTTGGAATTAGCCAATATGAGTAATAGTCGAATTTTTAGAAAAATTCAAAACGGATATTGTTATAATACTTTCTTTTTATATTGATTAATTTTAACAGATAACAAAGAGAGACAGCACTGATCTGCATAACCTCTTCCATACTATGTGGTACTAAAGAACAACTTAATTGGTCATATTCAAACGAAAATCTGAATTTTTTTTTTCTTTTCTGCAGCATTTAAAATATATTATTGAATAATGTTAAATCTTATTGAAATGAAATATTTTATCTTTTAAATATATATAATTTTGCAGATGCCTTTACTGGATGTATTTTGTGGTGTTGATTATTTATCATTAGACAGTACAAATTATTTACGAATTGAGAATCTTTTGGATGATTTAGTGGAAACTTTTCCTCAAATTTCGAAAACTGTATTCTTTTATCAAGAACGCCTAATAACCTATAATGTTTCTAAAACCGATTTACCTATACTTTATCGATACCTCACTCAGCACCTTCTTAGTAGATCGTTGAAAGAAGAATTGCAACCTGAAAAATTTAGCAGGTTTGCTCTTACTTCTTATCGTTCTTTTTCATCATTTAAAGCATTTTTTTTTTTCATTTGCTCTTACAAGAAAGAAAAGCTAATTTTATATTAGATTTTTGTTGAAAATGTGAACGACTGAGTTACCTCCCTTATTATATCACTAATAAGGGTATCTACAATGCGCTAATCACTTCAGTTTTGTCATTCTTTTAAAAAAGAAAAATTTTGAAAACGAAATGACTGAAATTTATTACTGTTGAATCTCATAAATACATAATTCATTTCTGCTTATTAATTGGGCTTTTGAAAGAATTTGATTATAGCATTCCGTTCAATCATTAGTCATTATCATTCAACATTTGCAGATATTTAAGTCTGACCAGAAGTAACGTCTTATTTTGCTATTAGTATGCAGCTCATAGTTCCAGGAGGGATTCAGTCCATCGAGGGAAATTTTTGACAGGTTTAGTGGTGCCATCTAAAAATCGATCAATCAACGACAAATGTGGTGCTAAATTACCAATTGTTTATTTATGTGATGATGATGATGAACGAAGACTTGCACCCTATGAAATGGTAATTTGTCTATGTTTATAAAAGGAATGAATGTACTTTCTGCTGATAGTTTGATTCTCTTTTTCTTTTTCCAAACATTCCATTCAATAAATTTTCTATCCTCATTAAGTGACATGTAGTAACAAATGTCCTACTATCATGAATTTTTCTCTTCCACCACAATTAATTATTTTATTCATTTTTATTCCTCATATTTATCCTTATGTATTTGCTATACTTCATTATTTATATTTTGTTATATTTATTATTACTAATTATTCTTATGAATTAAGAGAAGAGAATCTTATGTTTATTCTTTTTACATTCCCACTTCGATGTTTTTAGATTTTAATCTAAAACTGTAACTTTCAGATGTTCTTCTAGTAAATTGAAATTTTTTTGTGCAATTTAGATTGTTTATCGTGCTTTGAATGCTACAGTTTGCATGTTTATCCAGAAAAGTATTGATGCCCAATTTCTACAGCAGTTGGATGATTATCTTGGACCGGAATTAACTGCGTTAGCATCTCTCATTGCTGAATCGTATAATAATTTGAATGATATATCAAGGAAAGAGAATGAGTTTCATTTTGTGTATTTCAATCCAGAAAGTTTGAGCCTTAAAACGAGTTTAATGGAAAATATTGACTCTAACCGCAGCTCAAATTTGCCTTCTGTGCCGTCTTCAGTGTACAAGTAAGTTGAGTGATTTTTGGAGAAATGAAGCAAAATTGCAAATAAAATAAAATGATATCTTTGCATTTTTTTACTCCAAAAACAAAATGTAGGCTAATTTGTATTCCTAATCCATTTTTCTTTTTTTTTAAAAAAATTTTCGAGTTTTTAGAATCGTTTTAATATTTTGCGGTGCTTTTTTATCCTATTTTTTAGATCGGTTTGTGACTTGTTTGATGAATTCTTAGAAAACAATGATTTTGGCGAGACATCAGCTAGATTGGATACTGATTGGTGGCTTATTGTCAAGAAAGTAAACAAACGATTTTTACTGCTCATATTGCGAAGTGCTACACTTACTGCATCGGCTGAAGTGCAACAATATGTTAATGATATTATCAAAATTAACTTCGATACTGTATTTTTGTTTTAATGATACAAATTTCGCTACTTATTGCACATCTGCCAATTTCTCACTTTTATACTGTTCTCATTTCAATTAAAGTATATGAAGTATATTGTCATTTAGACATTTATTTCTGAGACCAAAATTCCAGAAATATATAAATTGTTTTCATAACTGTAAGGCACATTTCCTGGATATTAATATTTAAGGAATACTTAGTAATACACGCTAACACTCCAGCTATTTTCTTCATATAAAAACGAAGTTAACCTATGTTAGTATTTCAAAGCGTAAAAAGATACATTTAGTTCAAAGTTCAAAACTTGGTATGTTTATTACTTTTAAATTGCCATTGCGAAAAGTTGGTCGACAATATAATTGGGATTTAAAAGGCAAACGCTGAATAGAATGTGGAATGTGGAAGTAATATTAATATTTCAGAACGTAAAGGTACACTTTGGTCTAGTTCAAAACTTAATTAGGAATATGGTCAGTAGTTTCATTCGATTTGAAAGGTAAGATTATCGGCAATACTGACCTTTGCTATGGGTGAACAAAGACATAAATTATCTTGATATTTATTTGAACAAAATTATAAGAGATGAACATACCAAAATTCAATCCATTCAAAATAAATAACATAAAAATTCCTATTGAGGAGCTTATAGATGAGCATACTGCCAAGAACGAGAGAAACAAAATAGTTCCTTGAAAATAGTCTAATTTACCTAGGAAGAGATATTAGCAAATAGCTGTTAGAGTCACATATTTTTGAAATATTTGGTGCTTTTTCTAAAAACAGACGACAGTTTTTTGAAGTTAGAGCATAGAAAAATTCTGTCAAAAACAGTATAAAGAAATATGAAGGAATACTAACTTCGAAAAGAAATATGAATATTGGTTTTTCGCCTTTTACTGATTTCCTCCTCTTTTTTTTTTCTGGCACATTAATTTGATTCTGAAGAGAACGGTTTGGAAAGTTTAAAAAGTCCTAAATGATCTATTTTGAGAAGAGCAATACAAACAAAACATGTTGAGCAATTATCATTATTGTTGTGGGAGTTCCAACATTCTCATCAGAATGTTGTCGATATTTTTGATTACTGCAAGTACGTCGTTTTCCAAAGTACTGCCTGTACCATTTGTTTGTCGAATTTCCTGAAAAAAAAAAAGTTTTCTTAGAAACCTAAATCTTAAGTGTAGAAATTTAAGTGCAAATAAACAGAAATGTATTAATTGAAAATCAGAAAATTAAATATCAAAAAAACCTTATCTGTTTAATCAATGAATATGTTGTTTGTACAATGGCAGATCATATTTTCAGCAGCAATTTATCTACCGAAAATTTAGTATCACTTCATTGTAATTGGCGATTAATTACATTTAATCAATGGATATGGGTGATCAATTCGGTTATGCGACTGGTAGAACATTTAGCGAAGATATACAATGAGAAAAGATAATATATAATATATATAATAATAAGGAATAAGTGGAAAATTTAATCAGTTAAGCAAAGCGGATTTGATGCACTAACTTGAAGCATAGTATAGGCTATTTTTCGTGAATGTCGACAAGCCTCCGAAATAGAACTTAACGTTGAGCGATGTTCGTTCAATAAATTTCGAGCTTGTTTTAATTCTTGTTGACACTCTGCCAAACGCTGCTGACATTCCATTAGTTCATTCGTTACCTATCAATAATTTACTTTTTCTTCCTAAATTTATGCAAAAAAAAAAAAGAAAAAAGTTTTAAAAAAGAATTTTTGCATTTCTTCTTTCTATGTTGTTCGGTCCGTATGTTCTCATTGTTTCTTAAAATAACTGCAATAGCAGTGCTAAATAAAATAAATCTTTTTTATCTTTTTCTAAAACAAAGGAAAATCTTTCAGATTTGAATCACTTTCAAATTCAAATATACATTTTAAATTTAATCAGAAAACACTGAAAGGATTCTTAATTGTAGCACCGCATTTTTAACCCAAGCAAAATAAAACTGCCATATAGCATTCCCTTATGATTAGTCTTCCGGTAATAACCTGCTGAGAATGTGATTCCGATTGTTTTCTATCTTTGGCATAAGTATACTGGACTACTTTCGTATCATTTGTACATGGAATAAGCGTCCCATCAGTTCGATACTGCTGTATAACATTCAGCATTTTCTTACGTGGACCGAATGCCTAAAGTTGCATTGCTAAATTTCATCAACAATTAAAGCATAAAGTTAAAATTATGGAGAATAAAGATAAAGAAAAAATTTTCGTAATATAATTTGTAAAATAAAAATACGAACATACTTTAATGCCAATCTCCATAAGATCAGCATCGCTAAGCTCCAAGAATAAGTTTAAATCAATATTTTCGGTTTCAAAGATTTCAATGTATTTTTCTAATTTAAGCTGTGATAGTAATTCCGTTAATGAATTCACTTCCATTGCTTTCTTTTCTGTATTATTTTTCTTCCTTTTGCTCTAAAATGACAACATCCGCACAAAGTATATATATCAAAACATATATATGTATGTATCTGTATAACAACTGCTTTTGGCGACGAAACTCTAAAATTCGGCTATTTTGGGATTTTGAAAAGAGAGTTCCGTGATGAATCAAAAATCAAATTAAACTCAAAGATTTAAGATTAAATTTTGAACGCAAATTTATAATCAGTAGTTATAGTAGACGAAACAGTTGAAGCTCATGTAAAATTAAAACTCCAATATTATAATTCTTGAATGGTTGCAGCACCATTAAATTTATTAATACGATAAATTAAAACGATAGGATTATTGATAGTCATTGATTACCCGCGGAGGATCCTTCAAAATAGCAATTGTTTTGGGATTATCGAAAGCTAAAGCTTCACCATCTTCACCTTTTGCATTCTTTAATTTCGGATCTCCATCCTAAAACATTGAATCCTTTTACGAGATAAGATCTGAAATAATGTTAGCCAAGATGTATGAAATTTCAAGAAACCACTGTATGATAAGCTAATCTTTTAAAAGAGAAATCAGATCTAGTCGCCGAAATGTTTTCGAGCTTATGCCTAAACTTGGCATCAGAAGAGAGATTGTGTTTTTTTTCTCAAATTTACTATTCACCGATTAAACTGTCGGTATTTGAAGACTTAATCTTAGTATATTTTCTCGATTTTGCTTGAAACTCTCAGAACTTATTCTGCGATGTTTTGATCTGTTCCAACTATACTAAACTCTTATCAGGATAAATCACGCAAAAGCCCAGAAAGCATAAACATAACAAAGCAAATTCATTTTAGCGAATCTGACATAAAGCAGTGCTTATATCAATCTCTCATCAGTTTAGAGATTACTTGATGAAGTTTGGTTTCATGATTAGTAATGATTGTATGGCAATTGTCAAAGTGATAAAAGAAATATTTTGGATGAAACACTACTGAGAAAGTTTTCAGACATATGAGAAAAAAGTGAAAGGAAATACGAAGTATCGTATTATTCTTTTTTTTTTCATCTTTTCAATGATCATGCTGAATTAGAAATTTTGATTAATGAAGACAAAACATATTTTTTCTGATTAGAACCTGTCTAGTAAGGGAAAATTTATTCTTTCATTTTTCTCTAACATTAATATTAACAATGGGGCAAAATAAACAAAAAAAAAAAAAAGTTTAAAATGATCAAAAATGAGCAAAAGGCAACTTTTTGAGAAAAGTATGGGACAGTAATCAAATTTTAAATACTGCACGAAATTTTTGTTGAAATTCCTTTCGACATTTCGTACATAAATGAAATAATCCAAGTAATAGGTTACCCCAAGCGTTTCGTCATATAAATTCTGTCTGACTGTAGTAGGATGTTATATTAAACAATATATAAAAGGAATATACTGATAAAGGATGAAGAACTGCTACTATCATTCAGTTTGATTCTCTAAAAGAAGGAAAGGAATGTTGTAGTGAATGCCATAAAATGATGCAATTAGAAGTGATGGATCTAAAAAACTGAAATTGCTTCATTTATTAATCTAATAAATGATCAACATACTCTGATGCACTTAACTTTTATTTTTCACACCATTCTCCACAAAAATGAGGTGTAAAAAATATAACAAACATACATTCTGTAACAATGCCAGTAGTGTAAGCTCGTGTCCAATGCAGCATGCAGTTAATGTTGGTGTCATGCCATGCAAATTGGGAATGTTGGGATTAGCGCCATTATCCAACAAAGCTTCTGCAATACTAGCTTGTGAACAAGCAGTTGCATAAGCTAATGCTGTATCACCCATATTATCCTGTTTATCAATCGCAGCATCCTTCCGCATTAATAATCGTACCTTGAAAGGAAATCCTTTTATTAAGCCAAACTATAAACTAAAGTAGCCAAAAAACATAATGGTTTAGCTATGGATGAATACAAAAGATTAACTTTTCAAAATATAAATTCGAATTTATTATCTTTCAAATTTTTTAATGAATGGAATTCTTTTATTAGCAAAACAAGGATTCTCAAAATTTTTTACAGTTGTGAAAAAAAAAAAAACTTACAACAGCCAAATTTCCACATGTAGCAGCAAGCATTAGAGCTGTTTGTCCATTAGCATTGCATAAATCCACCAAAGCTCCTGATCTAAGCAATAGTGCACAAACTGCTTCATGTCCAAGATAAGCTGCATACATTAATGAACTCCACCCGCTTCCATTCAAACGATTTGCATCGAAACCCGTCTCCAACTGTGCCTGAAAATGGTAATTCGACGTTCTGAAAGAAAAAGAATATAGTAATTGTCTGCATGACCTCATATCTTCCAGTGATAACTTCTTGAAGAAAACAAATCATAGTTAATGCTTTAACATTTACTCTAATAGACATATTATACTTATAATAACATAGTTTGGAGTTATAATTATAATTAAAATACTTCAAAAAATAACATGACATATCTGTTTACTTATATAATATCATATCTCTTAGTAATTGATTTACTTTTTCTGATTAAATGTCATGGCTTACCTCAATTACTGGTGTATCTCCCATACTAGCTGCAGTATAAACATCGTACGGGCTATAAAGTGCATCATCGTATACCCGCGGGAGTTGCACCGGGGTCTGAGAAGTTTGCTCATAACATTTGATTATATTTCTTACCGTTGTGTTGTTGTGAGATATTTTAGGTAAATCATCACTAAAACGCACCGAACGTACTGCGCCTGCCATAATTCACCTCAAACATTAAGTAGAAAGGAAAAAAAAAAGAAATGCTAAATTCGTTAACGAGCGATTTAGTTTATGATCCTTTTTATTTTCCATTTTAATGCATTCTAAAGTACGATAACTTCTTTCCACACTCTTTTTCCTTTGCATTCGTAACAATATGAATGATTAATAATTATTTGCTAAAATACTTACAATATCGATTACATTAAATAAGACAGTGAATAAAGATTAAGGTTAGAAATATGAATTGAATCAAATTTTAACGTACCAAATTTATCAGTTTTTTTTTGCGAAAATTTATAAAACTTGAACAACTATAGTATTTTCTTTTTCTTCCATTTTCTTAAAGTAATAAAATTACCAAGGAGATCTTCGATAAACTTTTTCATGTTTGATAATAATTATATACTAATAAATAGACAAAAATATACTAATAAATAGACAAAAAAGGATAATAAATGAATGAAGTACGATGATCACAAACATATATAAAATAGTAAAATAAGGCATTCTTTAGTTTTGGTTGCTGATGAACAATATAATATTATGATAATCGTGATACTGTTATAGATCAATAAAAGGAACTTCTGGAGTTTTCTCAAAACTATTTGCACAGTGATGCTTCGTTGCACAAACACTCTGTCTAGCATATTAATCATCATTTATATTTAATACATCCACTGGAATTTTTAACCATGTTCCTGATAAATTTGATGAATTCAATAACCTTATCAGATTTAGATCTTTAATACTTTGATAGCAAAAACACATTGAATCTGTTTTTCATTAACTAGTTTTTATTTTAATTAATACACATCTTTAGGGCGTTACAATATGTTATATTATTTTTTATGACAACTTATCCAAAATAGATCCAAAGATAATAAATTGATGACATGGATGCCATGAAGAATACAAAAAAGTGCTTATTTCAATAGCCAGATTTTACTACGCTATTTTAAATTGTTTCGTTTTCAAAACTGAATTTGAATTCAACGGTCCCAACACTAACAGCCACTGAGTTTGCTGGTCAATGTTACTTACACTAATTTTTTCACCCTTCTATTTCTTTGACAAAATAGACCCGATAAATAAGAGATAGAAATATTGAGCCTGGAACGCCAGATGAATTTTTACCGAATTTTGATCTGAGGAAAAAATTTTCTTTTTTTTTTGAGAAAAACAAATATTAATAATTTCAAATGTTAGACTAACTTTAGTTAGGCGCTGTTTTAGAATAAACTACTTAAGTAAATTTGATGAAGTAAAATTAATTAATCAAGCATTTAAATGTAATAGAAAAAAAATTGATTAGACGCATAATCTGAAAAAAAATGTTTATTCAATTGGGAGCAAAAAACACAACAGATAGAAAGAAGAATTATTGGTTGTATTTGGAAGGATGATGGTTAAACGATCTGACATCGTTTAAACATCAATCGAAACTTGTTCTCCAGATGACGATCGCCTACTGCCAAACAAACTAACAATTGATCCCTCTCCATTACATATTCAAAGAATGACAACTGCAAAAATCTGTACTCTTTCATTTTAACATCAATGAAACATAAAAATTATCATCGAGTAGCTGTGTTTCTATGTTGATTTCTTTTCTAAAAAAATCAAAAAAATTAATCAGTTTTCAAAACGATAAACATTAACGAATCGTAGAGTACGTGCAATTTCCCATTATTCCTATAAAGAGAGAGAAATAATTTAAATGATTCCTCTGCCTTGCTAAAATACAATCCTTACGCTCTCATTTGTAAAAGCTCTTTAAATTTATCCGCTTGTTCCACGTACAGGAAAAACAGATTAATATTAGTGTCTTTTTAATAATTCCAGATGATTTATTATTTGTTCGAATGGAATCGGTATAACTTTTTCCCGAGAAACTTTATGGCTTCTTCCAAAATGAGACAAAACTTAATGATTTCAAAATATTAGTATAACTATGTGTGAATACACATAGTTTGGCAAGTTATTCACGAAAATAAGTTCTGAAGACAATCATAAAAGTAACATCCAAAGTACGATATCGTCAATCGTTATCGTCAGTATTCACCTATATTATTACCAATTATTTCATAAATGATAATTTCAACTATTACTTTTGTTATTAGTGATGATCACGGTATGACGATATTGTCCAAGAAAACCATTAACTAATTGCCAGCAAGAAAAGGGAAGACAAGATATGCCGATACTATGATACTAGGATATGATATTCATAACATATGATTGATGACAATGATATTGCGATACTATAATGACAATGATACCATAATATGTTATTATGATGACGATGATACTTTGATGTTAGCTAAACTTATCAACGATTTGTAGTAAGTGTCAACTGATGATGTAATTGCTGGGACAAGCAAAATTACATTGCAATAGTACAATGTGATATTGCATGCAACCAACTGAAATCTGTAAAATACAGTGTTCTATGTACATAGAAAAGGTTAAAGTTAATACTATGATAACATATCCCTAATTTGACCTCACCTGACCTGCCACTTGACCTCGCCTGACCTGCCCGTAATGTCACTGAACATAGAAGTTACCACCAATTAGTAGAGCTGCACGAATTTTACTCATCCAACAAAATTCAGCTTCACGTGGACAGCATACGGCTGAGTGATAGGTTGGTAATAGTAATTTGAGGGAAGGAGGAGTTAAACGTTCTTTTTCTTCTTAACTCTCATACAGCTTGTCGCTTTGCTGCATTATTGAAATTTAATTAAATTATGTTAAGAATAATTATATTTATATAATATAACTGAGCAATTTCACTTGAAAAAATCAAATCTATAGATCGGTTTTCATTTGAAAGATTGATCACTTTTACTTGAAAACTTTTATTGATTTAAGAAACAAGCATAAAAAACGTGAGTTTTTGTATTTATGTGATATACATCATTTATGCACTATGTAATAATTTTTGGCTTTTTTTTAAATTTTTAGAAACTCTCGACATCCTGGCTATCGCTATATTATCGCATTTACTATATCATAATTGTGAACCTAGTACAAGCATACAAGGATTATTTATATCGTCTATAGTATCAACTATGTCTCTCGCTACGAAAAAACGTTTTGTGATGAAACAAGCCGAAAGTGAATTGTTCTTGCCGAAAGAGAATGAAATCATCGCACGTGTTTTGACATCTCCAGGAAGGAATTTGCACGAGGTTAGACAAAGTCATTTATTCTTCAGTTAGTAAGTATAAAAAAAGCATTCTTACAACACCATTGTTGAGGAAAATTTTCGATTTTTTTCTATACTTATCTATTTCTGAACTGCATAATTTATTACTTTAGATATATATGATCAGCATATACTCAAACTAATTCTGGTTTGATGCAGAATTCGCTTAAATTTTTATTCAAAACTGATATAAGAACTTACAGTTTCATTACTTCCGTCCATGTCGCTAATGTACATTTAGTCCTTGAATAGTTTGCAATGGGTGTAATAAGTCAGTAGTACTCATTTCAACTTTTAAATTTTCAGATGTGATCTATTTTTCCACTTTCATTACATAGAAGCGTTCATTTTATTTAATTGGATTGGTGTATTTTTCAGGTGGATGATGAAAATGGCGAGAAATATTTAGTAAGCATGCCAAGGAAATTTAGGGAGACAATTTATGTCAAACGAGGTAGTTTTATTTTTGTTGTGCCGATAAAAGAAGGCATCAAAGTGAAGGCAGAAATTACGCAGATTTTGGATAAAGAAAATGTTTTATATCTAAGGGAGCAGAAAATGTGGCCCAAAAGGTTTGTACTTTGTTTTATATATGTTTTTATTTAACGAAGTTTTACCATTTTTACTATTTCGTTTATTCAGTTTTACAATGACATTTACATATTTAGGCATTGTAACATATGTTGTATGACTGTTTGATTGTCTATTAGAAATACATCTAAAAAAGAAGTAATGCTGTAAAAAAAGCATAAATATGTATAAAAATAGGACCTTAAGTATGATGGACAGTTCAAGCAAAAAACAAATAAGTCTTGTTTTACACTGTAGAAAAGAAGTCACATTTAATGTCTATGGTTTCAAACAATTGTTTTTAGATTCGAATCATATGCAGAAAGTATAACTCGTGAAGCAAAGAGAGGTATTATTGCTGGTAGTGTGAAAAGGCATGACGTTATCGATGAAGATATGTTACCACCCAGTGATACGAATGATGACAGTGAGTGTGACACGAGTGATGAAGATAATGAAAAGAAGGATGAAGACAGCTCGATGGGCGATTTCTCCGATTTAACAGGTTCTCTTTAAAATCATTTATGTTTGAAGTATTACATGTCCGAAAGATTCATTTGTTACAATTCTTATGTAAAGCTAAATAATTAAACCTTGAAAATTCCAATACTGTTTGAAAGGAGGACTACGAAAAAGCAAGAGTGTATTGCAGATTAGTCAAAGGTAGAATATAGAATTGCTGGTCAGTATCCATTTTGCGGTTTAACTTTTGGTCTATCATACTGTCATGGGAGTTATTGTAAAACTTTTTAAATGGTTACTCAATATATAAATCATTTGAAATCACTTTTTGAACACTGATCTCTGGATACCCCTCAGATATTTATGTCAAGTTTTTTACATGGTTTCTGCGCTTTTTGATTTTAATTTGTTATATTCATTCTTAACCTTTTTTAAAATACTTTTTTAGAAAGTGAAGAACTGGACGAAGATGATGAGACGGAAAATAGTGATGAAGAATCACAAAATGACGGTCTTGCTTTCAAAATATATAATCCAAATCGATTAAGGCGATTATAATTTTTGCTTTACTTTTCTCTAATTTTAATTTCGATATTTCAAATGTTTTTGCTATCGTTCTTACTATATGAATTTTAATATGCCTAAAAAAGGAAATCCTTATTATAAGGATCTCTTTCCTTAGTAATCTTTCCTAATGCAGCTGTATAATAGTTTTTGGAGATCATTTTCTGTTTCGAATTGTTTATAAAATTCTTTTGTTTGTTTACTGCTTTTAATTAACCTCATTCTGTTGGCACTTTGTTTTTCCTGATCTTACATTTCACTGATATTTTTTTTTGACAAAAATTTAATTAAATTTATTCGGATGCATCGCTTCACAAAGGAGATAGTTACAATTACAATTGAATTAGAAGTCTAATTTTGCTTCGAGATTTCGGTTACTTCATTGTTGAGCAGTGTTGAAGTTCTCAGTTCTGCTTTTACACAGCGGTGCAAGTATTTACAAAATATATGTGTTGATCTATATATTGACCTTCAAGTATGGATTAATTCTTTCTATCACTAAACTTGCGTGTGGGGCATCATTCAAGCATTTTAGCAGCAGTCAAGGAATCAAATAGATTTTGCTGACACTGACTTCTTCAAAAATTGCTTTGAAAATATAACAGACAAACGTCGATATGCATCACAAACTTAGTTTGAAACCTCGTGAGATTTCCAGGCGGAATTTCTTGGAAATTGTTTTTTGGTTTGAAAATATCCTCATTTATACCATATGAAGTGTATTTTTATAGAAACATTAGGAATCCTTGCTGTTGATGTTTATCTTTTCTGTATATTTAATTCATACACAGGTTTCGGATTAACGAATTGTTTTAATTTAAAGTGAAGTCAGATCATGTCATACCATAATTTACGTACCTGTGCAAGGATCCCTTATATTCCATTTTGCAAAAATTTAAAAATAGGGTGAAAATTTCAAATGGTTGCGAAAAGTTTGTTAATAATTATAAGAAACTAATAAGTCACAAAAAGATTCAGAGACTGCTATTTTAAGTCATTTTTCTTCCATTTTTCCTCACATTCATCCTCAAATCTCTTTTCTCATGGGAAAATTCCTAACATTTCAGTAAACAGAAGTGCAAAAGTATTAACAAAACCTTTTTAAGCTATCTCATTTATGCTTTTTCTTTTTTTATTTTATCGTTTAAAGTTTGAAAAAAGGTAACTGCTTAAATAAATCACAAAACTTATCTATTTTGTTGTCGAAAAAACTATCTTCATGCTGAACAATTTTGTTTATAAGTTTGGTTGAATAAATTCAAATTGATTTTAGAAAATTTAATCGCACTATTTGAATGTAAATTTCCACTTGCTTAACTTTTGCCACATTATTATTGCTTTTTTTTTTTTGGCTTCAAAGGAAACAAAAAACTCTTTAGCACAAAATAATTTAAATAGTATCCATATAAAAGCATCAATTTCCTATTTTACTATTTCTAACTTTCATGCATATAAGATTGCTTAAATGAGTCTTTGTTATTTGGTCATTTCCTTCCCTCATACCGATGAAATCATTCCACATATTCAAAGAAATGAAAAAGAAATCACCCAATGATTTATCAGTATGTTCCAATTTTAAATACATATTTCATTTCAGCATGTTTTAATACAACAATTTTATCGTGAACTTAGGGTTGTCTAATACTCTTAGCTTAGCTTAGAATTAAATTGGACTTTCGTATGCTCAGGTATCTTCTTTGATTGTCATAGTTGTGCTATAGCCGAACTGAAAGGTCGCTAACAATCACAGCACACAGGTATTAGTCTATGGTAACAATATACTGATAAGTTTGTTGAGTTATCTACGAATAGGATGAAAAAAAAAAACTGATGAGGATCTTAAAGGATATAAATGAACTGAATTAAATAAGTGAGAGAGAGTAGCCGAACTACAACTTGCTATCAGAAAACTGACCGTAACAAAGGATTTAAGTCCATATGTAGTGAGCATTGACTTACAACAAGCACATGATTAAATTGAGTAAAGAGTTATCAGATGATCTTTGCTCTTTATATAGTAGGAGATTGTCAGTTTCTCAAAGAATAATTGTTGGATTAAAAAACCTTTACAATATTTCGACACTGTAAGCAAGTTTGGTTTGAAGCAAAGGAGTAATTTTTAACGTATTAAACATACCCTTTGTTATCAGATGAAAATGTCTAAGTACGTAGATACAGTGGGAAGATGAGATTGTTTACATGATACGATTTGAAACAGTTCTGCATTCTTTTAAAGAATTTTCAATTAATTTTAGTATTATGAATTAATACAGTTCTATTTGTTACATTTTGAAAGCTATTTGAGTGTCTTATCTCGAGTTTCGCCACATAATTAACAATTTTTATTAAACATTTGGCAGTGAATGAATGATGAGAATAATGATGGGTGGGATAACTGTAATGATGGGTGGGATAACTGTAATGATGGGTGGGATAACTGTAATGATGGGTGGGATAACTGTAATGATGGGTGGGATAACTGTAATGATGGGTGGGATAACTGTAATGATGGGTGGGATAACTGTAATGATGGGTGGGATAACTGTAATGATGGGTGGGATAACTGTAATGATGGGTGGGATAACTGTAATGATGGGTGGGATAACTGTAATGATGGGTAACTGTAATGATGGGGGGGATAACTGTAATGATGGGTGGGATAACTGTAATGATGGGTGGGATAACTGTAATGATGGGTGGGATAACTGTAATGATGGGTGGGATAACTGTAATGATGGGTGGGATAACTGTAATGATGGGTGGGATAACTGTAATGATGGGTGGGATAACTGTAATGATGGGTGGGATAACTGTAATGATGGGTGGGATAACTGTAATGATGGGTGGGATAACTGTAATGATGGGTGGGATAACTGTAATGATGGGTGGGATAATCTCATTTAAATTACATGAAATTAAAGACAAGATAGCAGTATGATATCAAGTTTTTGTTTTTTTGTCTTTTTTTGAGTTAAAAATTAAAACTTCAGGATTGTTTCGCTATTCAACTTAATGACTAATTCATTCTATCTTTTTTAATGTAAACTTTACATTTATAAAGGAATGTAATTTTTTTTTTTATTTTTTTTGTGATTTCAATTTTTTGCTTAAAATTTTGCAATCAATTTCAATTCAAATCAACCATTTTTTTTGTCATATTAATCAGTGCTGTGATGTTATATTGTCACTTATATGTTCTACACCTATCCTAATGAATAGGTGTAGAATATATGTGATATATCTCTTTCACAGATGAATTAAGAATGATAAAAATAAGTAAATTCGAAAGTAGCTGAAAGGAATGCAATCATTTGTTAAATTAGTGAATCCAAATGATATATAATTCAAGTAATATTCCAATTATAAGAATACTATTTTATCAATCATTCTTTCTATTGTAAATTTATATTTGTCAATAAATCATTCAAAAATTTTTTTTGAAATCTAAAATATATTAGAAATAGAAAAAAAAGCTCCGATAGCTGAAATTTCTTCAATTGGACGATATTTTATAAAATGTTTGTTTTACTTTTTCGTTCTTTCATTCCATATAACTAATTATCTTTTTTAGCTGCGAATTAATTTTTATTTTCTCACTGGCGCATTTATTTTATGCATAGCACATTTGCCGTATTTAAGTTTTATTACGGGTATTTGAGCAAATGACCAAAATTTTTTCATTTAACCAAATTCAATGATTTGTATTGAACTAAATGACTGATTGAGTTGAGACTAAAAATCATCAGACTTGATGAATTATTGTTAGAGATTTGAATAAATTTCAATGGACAGAATTTCGAAGCTTTTCCAGTTCATAACAGCAGTGTCATTATTGTAAATTTGTGATGTGTCGAAATAATAAGTAAAAGGTATCAAAAAATTTTTCTTTAAATATTTAATTTTAATTATCAACAGATAACTTCCCACTAAATAAATAAAATTGTTTAAATACGATCTAACAGGTCTGTTTATGGGGATGCTAATAAGTCAAGCTTGAAAAAAAAAAAAAAAATAAAAAATCGAATGAAATGTTAATACTGATATAATGAGAGAAATGAGTCACTATCGTTTCATCTTTCTAATCTTTGATAATTAACAAATAATTAATAATTAACAAAATAATTAACAAAACTTAATAATTAACAAAACTTAAAATCTGGTAAACAAAACAAATCAATTTTAAATGAAGAAGTTAACATTTCATGCATTATACTACTGTTTACGTTTAATTAAAATGAAATCTTTGATTGTGAAAGCAAAGATTTGTTGTAAATTAGCCAATAACGAAAACGAAAAAAAATGCGAAGAAATTTAATATTCAAAATTATATTCATTTGGAAAATGTTACTTTGAGCAAGCTTAAGAACTTTTCTAAAAAAATGTATTAACATTTCAAAAGGATTTTTTGTTTGTGGATAATACCAAACCACTAGGCTCATTTTTGCTATGACTAGGACAATGTATGGCTAATGACACATCGACACTCGAAATATTGGCCAATTCTAATCTGCCTAGTTATTTGTTTCTTTTTGGCTCATTTTCCATTCTTTTCTTCTTTCTTTCTTCCTTTTTCGTTTTCTCATTTTTTTACGCTTCTATTTACGCTTAACCGCAACAATTTTTTTCTTTTTTTTGGTTAATTTATTAAAAAATCAACAGTTGGTCTAATTTTTTTCGATTTCAATATGATGAATTTTAAATAATTTTAATTGCCACAATTTTAATTTTAACTTTATTGAAAGTTTAAACCTTACTTATTATACTTGCCATTTTATTTTTCAATTAATGAATAATTTTTTTCTTTTATAATCTTCTAGTATAATTTTTAGTAAGGTTAAATTACAGAAGTGAATTTCAAACTCTTTTTGTCATTTCTTTTTCCACTTTTCTAAATTACAATTATTTTGTGAAATAAAAATAGCCTAGTTAATTATACCGATTTTATGGCACACAAGGGACAGCTAAACATTTTTTGGAATCTAAAAATTCACTACTTTAAAACTATGCCACAATTTTCATCATTTAGCTTTATAAATTTTCGTTACGTGCGTCACTTCTCCAATAATTATAAATTTATAATCCAAGTAATAAAATGTAATTACCTTTTTTTTTTTTTTTTTTTTTCAAATATACATTCTTTTCTTGTTTTGTTTGTTTTGCTCAATGCATTGTTCCAAAATGAAATAACAATGAACAATTCGTGCATTTTAAAAAAGACGAAAATATAAAAATGCAGGTAAGTTCAAAGTATTTACCACCTGGTTGTATTTATTATTCGCATAGCAAGTTTGCATTATGATGAACTTAAATTTTAAATAGGAGGGAAGTAATTTAATACTTTAGTTCTTGCAAAAGTGAAAAAAAAATTACCCATTTTTTGCAGGATAATAAAAAATTAGAAATAATTTATATTATTAATTTGAGCATCAATCGGTCAACAAAATTCATTTCTTAAAAAATTCTGTAAATTAAATTGAAACATTAAATAGTTAGCATTTGTAATGAAATAATCCATGAAATATTCATAAAAATATCTGTAATATTGAATAAATTGACAAAAGTTGTTTATTCAACTTTTTTTTTTTCTATTTTTCATCATTTTCTACTGCTTATTTATTATCTTCTTAAGAATTTATGGTAAATTCTGAAAAAATGAATTTAATTCTATAAAATAGTTTTTATTTTCTTTTATTCTATTGGATGAAACATGAAATATAAGGAAATTTTTGTGTTTTAAGTGTTTCAAACGATAGAATATTTTATTAAATTTGCAAAGTTTACTGCAATTGATCGCAATATTATTCATTGCTATATGCATTGATTTCTCGTCGATAACAAATTTAACATTATCCTCAGAAATTAAAAAGAAACAAAGAAATACCAAAATTTGTGAAATAATTCGCGTAATTCTAGTATTAGTAATCTTTTAGATTTCTTTATCATTTTTATTAAATTTTTTTATTTAAAGTTATTTTATCTAACATATTAAAAATGTTTACTATCATTTTGATATTTCATTAATAAATTTTATCATTTTTGAAATAAATGAGAAAAAGATGATATTTCTGTGAATTATTGGACAAAATTTGATTTTTCTTTTGTCCATAACTTTTATTGTTTGTTTGAAATAAATATTTACCTACATGTTTGACTCCTTCATAGGCAAAAAACAAGGAAATTGTGTTGCTTATTTTATTTTAAGTCTTTATAAAACTATTTAAATTTCGTTTTTTTTTTATTAAATTAGCTTTTCTACTCAAAGTTCTAGGAATCAAAAAAAAAAAAAACGAATAAATAAAAATAAAAAAAGCAACAAAAATGTTTTTTAAAATTTCTTTTCAAAAAAAAAAAAAAGAAAAAAGGAAGAAATAAACCATAAATACTAATAAATATGCAAATCAAACTAACTCGTAACTTTATTTTATGATGAACATTGTCCTTTTTTTTCTATGAATTAATGAGCATACGGGATGCATCGAATTGATAAGAGCAATTATAAAATTATTTTCAAAATTGAACTTAAATAAGAAAATATCTAGCTTGTCAACAAATATCAAATTAATCAAATTTAAAATTAAATTAAATTCTAGATGCTGAGTTCAAAATTTCGCTTTTAATTTCTTCATGATATGGCATTTTTCTTTGACATATTTCAATACTGCTATGATTATTATGCTAATTGTTCATTCTGAGCATTCAATTCACTAATGATTGTTAGTGAAGATGAATTAAATTCAAATTACAATTTAGAAAAACATTGTAAAATTAATAAAATATTCGTTACAATAATTCCTAAAATTATTTCTCCTCTTTTTCATTAAAATTAGAAGTGAAATCAAATATACTAGTATTGAAATTCTCCTTATAAAGTATTAAATTTTCATATGCATTTAAAAAAAAAATTTTATTTTAAGGAAATAAAATATCTATCTATCCAAGAAGAAACTTTTAACTTCATCAATTTATCAAACAATCTCTCAATTAACAATTTGTAAATCTCTAAAGAATGCTATATTAATGAATTTACTAGTGATAAATGATAACATGTGAAATATACTACTAATTCATTCTCATTTTCGACTTTTTTTGTGTTTGTATTAAAAACAAAAAGCTAAATGTATTTGTTAAAATATGAAAGAATAATATTTTTTTTTAGATACAAAGTTTTTTTTTTTTTTTTTCTTTTCTTCGAATATAAATTTTTCTTGAATTTTCTTTAATGCAAATGAAAATTTAATTATTTGTGAAAAAATTTTTGTTATCAGCAGATTTGATTTCTAACTTTGATTACAGAAAAAGAGAAAATTAAAATTATGCGATGAATTGATAGTTCATTAAAAAATATTTAATGCTTAAATTATCATTTTTTTTCTTTTATTTCCTTTTCCAATTCGTTTTTTTTTTTTTTTTTTTTTTTTTTTTTTTGCATTTTTATTTCACTCGAAGCAATAAGATATATTAATAGTAATAGCATAGACATAAGCCTTAGGCTCATTAATTTTCAATTTTCCATCTTCTTTCCCCCCAAAAAAAAAACTATGACAATTTGATGAAAAAAAAAAAAAAATATAGCGGTCAAATTTTGAGAGCTTTTTCAAAAAAAAAAAAAAAAAAAAAAATGAAATTCTCAATTTATTAGCTTTTTATTGCTGAAAGCTGGAAAGTGCAATAAAATCAAAATTATCAATTTGATTAAATTTTCACTGCAACTGGTAATATTTTATAAAATTAGATTTAAAAATGTTGTATTGGCATCTTTCTTTCTTCTAGTTTCTATCAGAAAATAAAATTTTCTTTGTTAATTTCTATAAGATATATTATAATTTTGAGCAATTTATAGAAAAAAAATTTTGCACAAAATTTAAGAAAATAAAATTTTCGGCTGAGAAATTTTTTTTTAAGAAAGTCAATAATATACCATCAAAAGTTTTTTGATGAAATTCGAGTAAAATTTTTTTAACTACAATTAATGTTTTTGTTGGAATAAAAATTATTTTAGAATAAAAATATCAAATATTCAGTTTACCATAAATTACCCAATCTCTGCTACATTAATCAAGAAGGAATATATAAATCATCAACTAAACTAGTAAATTTATAATTCAAATAAGTAAACAATATAAATAATAACAACTAACAAAATTATTAATTTAATTAATTATTTCTATTTGCTTGTGATTATCTAAATTTATAAAACTTTAAAAAAAAAGTGTTTATGTGACAAATTTTTAAAAGAAATTAAGGAAGAAATAGCTGAATTGATAGTATTGAAATTTAGTTGAAAATATGAATTTTATTCCTATCATTTTGTTCAATTTGGCAATTTTATTTCTAAAATTTAACTTTAATCTTTAATTATAACTTTTTTTTGAGGAAAAAAAAGGCCAAAAAAAAATGAAATTAAAAGTTATTTATCATCGTTTAACAGCAATTTCCTTTGCAGTTTAATGGTATCGAATGTCTGAAAGTAATCAATTTTAACATTTTTTGACATTATTAAAGAGAGGAAGAAAAGTGGTTAATAACAGAAAAGAAATGGACGAACGGTTTAATCCTTCGATCGCTCATTTATTAACGTTCGTTTATTACATACACACACACACATGCATACACACACATACACACATGCATACATGCACACATACACACATGCATACATGCACACATACACACATGCATTAGTTCCAGGGAGATTTTCTTGGGATCGGTCACAATTTCCTTTTTTTTTCATCTCGAAAAAATTATTATTGTTGTTATTGCTATTGTTACTGTTATTATTAATGTTGTATTGTTGTTGCTATCGCTGTTATTATTGTTTCTTGTTATTATTATTATTATTATTATTG